ATATATATATATTTATATATAGTTATATATATATATATATATAGTTATATATATATATATATATATATATATATATATATATATATATATATATATATATATATATATATATATATATATATATATAGTTATATATATATAGTTATATATATATATATATATATATATATATATATATATATATATATATATATATATATATATATATATATATATATATATATATATATATATATATATATATAGAACTATTTATTGGTGAAAACATATGAAAACCAAAATTTTTTATATAATATATATAGTAAATATTTGATAAATAAACCTCTACAATTTCTTTGGTTCACCAACTCGATAATGATTAATAACAACTCTGTAAACATGAATTTTCTAATAATTTAAATCTTAATAAATTATAACAATTAACTACTTATTTAAACAAATAATTACTTATTAAATTTTAAAAAGATTTTATATATACGTAATGTCTACTTTTATATATACGTAATGTCTACTTTTAAACTTGGTTTAAAAAAATTTCTAATAAATACATATTTAGATAACTTAAAATGAAGCATAACACAACACTCTTTTGACAAATTCCAAAAGAAATTTTCTTAATTTTTATATTCCTCATTATTTTTCCTTAGAGAATATATATATGTAGATATAGAGAAATATAAAATAGACTGAAATAAATCGAAAACCTTAATTTATGTATGAGAAAATAACTTGAACTTACTAAAAAAGCGATCAGCTTCTCTTAACTGCTCTAAAAAATAAAACAAATACTGCTTAAAATGTTTTAAAAAGACTAACGACAAAACTGTTTTCTTAAAAAAGAAACATTGTACTAAAAAAACTATTTTACCAGTCAATTTAGTTCTAACTTATTCTAAAAAATGAAAAATAAATACATATTTAGATACCTTAAAATAAAGAATAACACAACACCCTTTTGACAAATTCCAGAAGAAATTTTTTTTATTTTTCTATTCTCAATTATTTTTGCTAAGAGAAAATACATATAGATATACATATATATATATACATAGCAAACTAACAATTATTTAAATTTTTATTTTAAAAAATAAACAACATTAATTCTTCTTGAAAATAAATGTATCAGCTTCAATTTGATTGCTGATTTTACTCGAATGACCGCATGGAATATATATCTGCGCTTAGAAAATTCTAGAGGCAAAGAAATAGTGTATTTTACATAATGCAGAACCGTAATTAACAAAACGAACAATAGGCGTAACAATGCGTAACTATGCGCACTATTAATAATATTCATAGGCTATTCATTATAGGCGATGTAGTAAATATTCCATTAAGACAATGTTTGCATTTTTAAAATGACTAAAATATAAAGTTTTGTTTCTGCTAGTATTTGTAATAAATGGTTTGAGTTTAATCAAAATATTGGTTTAGTCAGAAACATTTAAAATGAGCAAACAGGCGAATGGAAAGTAATGGATAGGTTATATTAAGCGAATTAAAAGCTTTTAAATCGTTTTTACAGATCCACTCTTTTCCATTGATTTATTTATATTTTATGCAACCAAAATGACTGATGTTAATGAAGTTTACCCACCATCAGATATAAATAAAGATGTAATTAGTTGTTTAAATGTAAAAAAAATGACTTTTTGTTATGCATCAACCTCATTTTTTAATCATTGATATTTTTGATTTTGATTTAAAGTTATACACTTGCAATTTTAACAATAATTTCATAATATACATAATAATAATTTATACTTACAATACCTATACTTGTAAATATTTGTAATATAATACTTATGTTTAAAATACTGATAAATTTTTTATTGATATGAACTTTTGCATTCAAACTTTAGTTATAAAACTTTAATTTAACTTGGCAACTTTAACATAAGTAACCATAACTAAAAAAAAGATAATAGTTATTATATAGATTATAACCATAGGAAAAAAATATATGAAATCATCCAAAAAAAATAGTTTTCGACACCCTTACGTCTCAGAATTTGTTAATTTTTACACCACTTGCAGTCCATATCAAAAAAATAATAACTGTGAAAATTTTAGTTGAAAATACCAACGGGTTCCAGAGATATCGTCAGTTGAAATAATGCTGACTCAGCATTTTAGTGATTTTCTGAAGCGACTACAAAGCAACTTTGACATACTGTATCTTCATAATGGCTTGGGAAAATTTCCTAAAATTTGGTACTCTAATATATTTTAACTTGAGGAATCCAAAAATAGCACTCTTAAGACTCGATTATCTCAAGAAATGCCTCATTTATCCAATTTTGCACCAAATTATTGACTTGTAAGTTAGTGATTTTTGGAGGTAAAATAAAGACTGTGGCCCAAAATCCCGAGTAAAAATTTTAATTGTATATCATTATTTCATCTTAGGTCTACTGAAAGAAATTAGATTCATCAATTGTCTCTCGAATACATGATCAAAATTTGCATTTAAAAATGGTGTCTTTTTAGAAAAATTTAATTTTTGTAACAAAAGCAATTAAAATATTTTTTAAAACATTTATTTGAATAAAACACCAAATAGTGTTATTTATTGACTAGTTTAAATTTAAATAAACATTTAAAGTCATGGGCCAAGGGAGATGCCCTCCCTACCCACGGGAGGCCCCTCCGCCCCCTCCCCAAATCTCCCTAGATTTTTTTTTTTTTTTTTTAATAAAATGAATAAATAATAGTTGATTGTTAAAATACATTTTAAAAACATATTTTTTCAGTTTAAGTTTGAGAAACGATTTATTTGCGTTACTTCAAATTGATAAATACTTACCTCTTATTTCAAAGATCTTTTTACGGTTTTAAGTCATAAATTTCAAAAACAAATGTTTTAAAATGTTTTTAAAACAATATTGACAATAAATATCTTTATGTAGTTTTAGACTAATATAGTCATTGACATAATAAGATAGAAGTGATTTGTGATTTATTTAAACCCCCACCCCTCCTTCTCAGCTTACAATCCAAGGATTTGAAAAAATAAAAGACATTTAAAATGCAAATTAGGTAAATAAAATAAAAACAAAATTATTTTAAGCATAATTAATTTTTTTTTGTAACCAACAGTTTATATTCTCATAATCTAAATCAGTTATGTTGTATGTACGACCTGATATTGTTGTGGGTGTAGAAATTAGGCATATAACTTCAGAATTGAGCACCCAACACTCATCAGTTCTTATTGCCCAAAAGAAGTTTTTATCTGGTCCATGTGGATGCATGAATCTGAATTTTATATCAAGCTCACTTACATCTTCAGCAATCCCTACCCACCAAAATCCATCATAAAAACATGCAACATAATCCATTTTTTTAATATTTAATGAAATATCTACATAATGTTTGCTTTTTGGAATGATATCAAATATTTCAGTGCATGCATCAATACTTATTTTTTTATAACTTATAGTGTTTGGAGCAATTGGAATAAAATGATGATACTTCCTTGTGCCAGGAACTGTTCTTCCACCTAAATATCTTTTTTCTAATTGTGCTCGTGTTTGATCGATTTCTTCTTTTGAAAATAACTTAAAATAAATTCCATTTATCTTGGCTTTACAAAAGGAGTACATTAAATTAACATCTAAAATCTGCCCAGTAGTTATTTGTTTTAGACTTTCTTGACATACTACTCTTTTAACAGTCCCACCAATACCATCACAGGGGGATTTACCATGACTGGTAGCAAAAAATACCCATTCAGCATTTAAATCAAAGTCTTTACTGTGATGACAAAGATTGATAAAATTTTTTAAATTTTTAAATTGTGCTGCATAACCATCAGAAAAGTATTTCACACTTGATACATCAGGTAGATTTTCTTTGATATATCTAATTATACCTTCCTGAGTCTTGTAAATAAATCCTGTGTCATGATCAACATCTTCTGAAAGGTAACAAAAAGATTTATGTTTGAGAAGTTTGTTCTCTATAAAATAAAGTACAACTGTATAAAGTGAGCATTGACTTTTGCTCCAGTGATAAAGCTCCAACATATTGATAGTTTTCAGCAAAATCTCCTAAAATTAGGCATTCGTTTTGGTTAAGATTTTCTTTACAGTTTTTTAAGTATCTACTTTGTGTTTTTGCTATATATGAATGAGTGGTAAGGTTGTCAATACTGTCACATAATAAATCAATAAATTCATCTAGTGGCAATGACTGTGAAAGTAGTGTTGTACGATCTGTACTCTGCCATTGCTTAAATAATACATCTTCTTCATGCTCATGGTCCATAAACTCCTGCACTAAAAAACTTTTTAACGCTTTAATACCAGGACATTGGTTACATCGATGCAACATACATTCTGCATTTTCAAGAGAGCAAACAATCAATGCCATGAAATCTTTATAACTTTTATTCCACCTAATGGCATCAATGAGAAATTTTGTATTTTGGTGATGTATGCAAACACATACATTGTGGGTACCTGACGCATTAGTTGTAATACACCATTTAGGTTTAAGAGTACAAAACTTTGACTACCTGACTTTGACGTTAGGGTAGTCATTTTTAAATGCAACATGTAATTCATTAAGATTGAGTAGCAATAATCTTTTTTGAACATGTTGGTTTTTCTTAATACTTACATAATCTTTTTTTCCTGGCATCATTCTTGAAAATTCATCACTTTGATAAAAGTTAATCACTAAATTAACTGTTTCTGGTGAAAGTGGGTTTCCAGTTTTTTTCCCGGGTAATGATAGAATTCCATTCTCATTTTTAACTTTTCTTGCTGTTCGAACAAGATACTCTGACACTTCAAAGTAGCTTGATACTTTTTACGTGTCCATGATTTTGGTGCGAGTGTTAACATTTGCACCTTATGGCGATAAGAGTCAGTCTCTGAAATTTTATTTTTTATTTCATACATTAAAATGTCTAGATCATGGTCATTGTTAATGTTGTTGTTTAAAATGGGGCTTTTTATTTCTGTTGTTAAAAAAGTTTCTTTAATATTATATGCTATTGAGACCATTTTTGCAACTCTGTCAATAGTGTTCTCAAACTTTTGTTTTGCTACAGGCAATTTGCTGTGTTTTGAAAGACTTTTTATTTTGACCGGTGAGATTCCAAGCAATTCTATGGTGGTATCTAACTTAATTTTTTGTCTCACTTTTTGATTCCCATTCCTCCTGTGAATTTAAATCTTCATCAGTTTCTATTGCTTTTTTGTAACATTTACTGCAGAATTTCCAACCTGGGGTTACATAAACATTATTTTTTTGCAAATAGTTTGCCATGTCTATGGAAATCTTTATATTACCTAAAAAACAAATTTAGTTTTACGTTGTTAAAATAACTGAAATTATAAAACTTTTTATAAATAATAAATTGTTTTCTTTTAATTTCCATATCAATTCTGTTGTAAATAAGGTAAGATTACCTTTTATAGCAATTTTTTTACTTTCCTTGTGTGTTCCAAAAGGATTGCAACACTTTGTAATTTTTCTCTCAAAATATTTTCCATAGAATTGCTCATGATAACAACATATAATTCTTATTGAACTATATTTTTCCTTTAAATTTGCTCGCCATATTATTTCTTCTTGTTTTTCACAAGGAAGATCTTTAAATTGAACAAAACCTTGTTTTCTTGAAAATCCAATTTTGTGGCAATGAATGTTAAGACTTTTTCCAATGTCACATTTCTCCATATTAATTATTTTTATTATTTATTACCTAACAAAATAATATAAAAACTATAAAATTAAAAGTAATTCTTTAAGAAAATACAAACAAGTAAATACCTTTAAAAAGAACAAAACAAAACTTATGTTTGTTTTTTATATAAAAGGAGGTTTTAAGTCACCAATTTAAAATAATGAATTTTTTTTTCAAAATTAAAATTAAATTGTATGTTTTTGCATTATTTATTTATTTTATGCAAAAAAAAAAAAAAAAAAAAAAAAATCTAGGGAGATTGGGGGAGGGGGCGTAGGGGCCTCCCGTGGGAGTGGAGATCTCCCTTGGCCCATGACTATAAATGTCCTAAACTATTCAATAAATGACAGTGTTTGATGTTTTATTCAAATAAATGTTTTAAAAAATATTTTAATTGCTTTTGTTACAAAAATTAAATTTTTCCAAAAAGACACCATTTTTAAATGCAAATTTTGATCATGTATTCGAGAGACAATTGATGAATCTAATTTTTTTCAGTAGACCTAAGATGAAATAATGATATACAATTAAAATTTTTACTCGGGATTTTGGGCCACAGTCTTTATTTTACCTCCAAAAATCACTAAGTTACAAGTCAATAATTTTGTGCAAAATTGGATAAATGAGGCATTTCTTGAGATAATCGAGTCTTAAGAGTGCTATTTTTGGATTCCTCAAGTTAAAATATATTAGAGTACCAAATTTTAGGAAATTTTCCCGACCCATTATGAAGATACAGTATGTCAAAGTTGCTTTGTAGTCGCTTCAGAAAATCACTAAAATGCTGAGTAAGCATTATTTCAACTGACGATATCTCTGGAACCCATTGGTATTTTCAACTAAAATTTTCACAGTTATTATTTTTTTGATATGGACTGCAAGTGGTGTAAAAATAAACAAATTCTGAGACGTAAGGGTGTCATGGTCTGGATGATTTCATATATTTTTACCCCATATGATTATTTATTATAATTGAGTTATAGTAAGTTCCAGGCAATAGGTCTTATATGATATGTGTCTTATGTATACCTTGTATTTTGCAGCATGTTCAAGAATATTTCTGCATGGTACACTTTGACTGTTAACAATATTTGCATACTGATATGAGTAAAAGTGACTTCAACAACCAGAACATATTTTTGATAAGTATTAGTAATAACAGGTAAGTAAATATAATTATAATAATAATGGTAAAAACTTTTTATTATTAGAATTAGTGAGAGACATGTATAATAGAAATGCATTAACTTTGGGGGACAAATGTAATGATTTGAGTATATATTACTGTTGTTTATTACCTCGATTAGAGTAATGTAAGAAAATAATATTTTTATCTAAAGAATATTCAGCAAAAGTCAGTATTTCATAAGTATTGAATATTATAAAAAAACTTATGTTTAAAAATAATGTATCATAAAATAAAAAAATAAGTATTTGAGTATAAAAAAAGCACATTTATTATTATAATGTATATTCATCACATTAACTATGTTGTCTATAAAGTAGGGGTTGCAGCTGATATTTCAGCTTCAGCTCATTAGCTTCATATTAATGCTAAAGCTGATCAAGTCAATTTAATCAGCTTGATAGCTGATAGTAAAAGAGAATATTACTTTATAAATGTTTTATATAAAAACATATAGGAATTTATTCAATGAAAATCTAAAATAGTGACAAAATTTAAACATACATGTAAAAAATTTTAAATAAAATTTGCCCAAATTTGTTGCTATTTATAAATGTTGCCGTCAAAGCCTAGGCCTAGGACTCACAATATTAGGGGATACAAATTGAGTTTTTAGAAGTTTGATTAAAAAGTGGTGCCCAAAAATCTAATTTCATTTTTAATTATCTTAAGGAGACCAACTACCATTTGTTCAAAAAGAGTACACTTTGCAAGTATTTCATAGGTAAAAAAAAAAAGAAAAAACAATAAAAAAAATTGTTTTTTTTTAAAAACATATTTTTTTTCAGAGTGGATTTTTTTTGCTAAATGAGGATGTTCGTCTAATAATGTAGCCGCATCCAAACATATTAAATTGCATATTAATTTAACTGTAATACGGCAGATAATGTTTTTACAGAAATTTGCAACTTCTCACTGCTCCAATAATCATTCCTTAGTTAAAATACCCTTTCAACAGCAGCATTAGTGTCTGGACTACATAAAGAAATTTCTATTAAAACTTTTAAATTTTCATGTAGGATATGTCCTACTCTAAAATGCCAAAAGATTTCTACCCATCTTTTGTCAAGTTCTATTTTCTTATTGTTCCATTTCTTCAATTTTTCTTCATTTAAATATAAATTTACTCTTCGAATTTCTTCAAAAAGAAAATTGTCATTAATAACAATAACTTTTACTTCCTTCATTAAATTCAAATTTGACTGCTGAAAAAACTTCTTTCCATTTAATTTTACTATTTAAAAGGGTCCATTTAAACAATTCAATGCTCTAAAGTTCATTATCCACTCTTCGATCAATTCATAGAAAATTTTATAAAAGTTTTGAATTTCTTTTTAAAAATTAATTTTTTATTCCGGGATTGGAATCTTCCAAAACAGTCAGTTTATAGGCTTTAATTTAGGCTTTAATATTGTATGTAGTAGTGTATGTATATATTTTTTTATTTAAATTTGGCTTTAATTTGTTTTTTTATATTTTTCTCTAAAAAAAATTTTCTATCACTATCCTTCTGAACTTATGTGATTAAGTTTTTGTTTTCTCTTACATATTTTCACACTCATCTTATCTCATCCATTCATTCTCTCTTTTTTTTTTTTTTTCATTTTTCTTAGCGTTACTCTTTTATATTTTTGTGCTAGTTCCAACTTTTTTAATATTATTGTTTCTTATACTTCTTTTTTTATTTCTTGTATTAATGTAGTTTACTTTTTTTATTATTTCTTTGTTTTAATATTTTTTAATTTTATTTGTTTATTTTATTAAGGTGTCGCTCCATTGACTTGTTTTTAATATGAGTGATAAAAAAATATGATGGATAAAAAAACATCATATTAAAATATTTTTAATATGATGGATAAAAAAACTTTGCTGTACATACTACGCATGCGTCAAGACAGTCAAACATGCCTTACATACTGCACATCAAAGATCAGCCTGGGGATTACATACACAAATATTGGAGAGATAGATATATCTATCTCTTTTCACAAATGTAATTTTGGCATTGTTAGAAAAAGAGGTCTGTAGTATTTATCTATCTCTCCAGGTACATAATACGACCTCTCAATTGTACTGAAAAAAACAGCCATATGTGCATGCAAAATTTAAATCACCGTCAAACTTTTGTTTGGTGTTTGCCCTGTCCTCTGACGTGCCGCAAACGGCAAGCAAAATGCGCGCATAAAATTCAAATCACTGTCAAAATAATTTTAAATTTTTAGTAATTAAAATTGAAATGAAATAATCTATAAAAATGTTTTAGAAATGCAAATGAGTACAAAATTATACAATTGAGTACTTTCAGAGTACAGGATTTGAAAAGAGTACAGTTTGTGAAAAAAGAGTTGGTCACCTTAATTATCTACATAATTTTTTGGTAGACTTCAAAGTTCTTGCAAAAGATGGTTTTATCTATGAAAATATTGAGTTTAAAATCAATCTTGCTGTTATGCACTAGCTAGAGCATTTGTAAAGTGTTTTAAAGGACACAATGGTTATAACTGATGTGAGCGTTGTGTTTAGAAAGGAGAGTGGTGTGGCAAAATAATTCTCCTACATATTTCACCAATTTTAAGCACTGATTCAGATTTTTTGTCATCAAAAGCATTCTGAACATCTTAGTGGTGTGTTACATTGAATCAATTTTTGACATGGTGACAATGTTTCCTTTAGACTTAATGCATCTAATATGCTTAGGGATAATGCGAAGATTTGTCAACTTATAGTTAAATTGCCCAAATGTTGTAAATTGTCTCAGAGTCAATACTTTATCTGGCGGATTGTTCCAAATACGTCATTACATTCCAAGAAATTTTTCTAGGAAATTAAGGTCTTAATTAGATAATAAAAAATGGAAAGCAACTGAATTTAGACTATTTATAGTATTCACTGGACCATTTGTTTAAAAGGAATGGTTTAGCCAAAAATCTATTCAATTTTTTAGATTTTTCAGTTGTAGTTCTAATTTCATGTTTTATTTTGGTGAAAAAATATGTTAATTTTGCTTTTCAGCTACTTATATTGTGCAGTTTTATATGTGAACTTTATCGCAAGGATCAACTATTGTACAATGTCCATTCATTAGCACATATAGGAAATAATACAGTTAAATTTGAGGTACATGATAGATTTCCCTCTTTCAAATACAAAACCTTTTCAGGTCAATTAAAAAAATTTGTTCAAAGATCAAAGGGCTGCTCAAATAAACATGTACATGAAGATAAACATAAGTTTAGTATTTTTTATTCTGATGGTAGTAATCATTGCATTCAGACGCTGTTTTTAGTTTAAAAATTATCAAGGTTTAGAGTGTTTTGTTCCAGCTAATGAAAGTGATAATTGTTTTGAAATTACAAAAAAGTATGGTTAAGGTTAAAAGGTTTTAAAAAGCAGACAAATCTTATGACAAATAGGTTATGTTTGTGGAATTTACAACTTTTTAGACGTTTTATATATATATATTTATGTGTGTGTCTCTCTCTCACTCTCTCTCTCTTTCTCTCACTCTCACTCTCTTTATATATATATATATATATATATATATATATATATATATATATATATATATATATATATATATATATATATATATATATATATACATATATATATATATATATATATATATATATATATATATATATATATATATATATACATATATATACATATATATATATATATATATATATATATATATATACATATATATATATATATATATATATATATATATATATATATATATATATATATATATATATATATATATCAAATTATATACAATATAAATAAAAAAATATATTTATTTAATAATTTTACATAATTTATTTATCAGTAATTAAAGGAATGTTATCAATTTATTGTATGAATCATAAGCATATGCTTATCTATTACAAGTACATTTTAAAACGTTA